GACCTTCTGCAGTGTTCTATGTTTTTATGTGGGATAGCGATGAAGAGGTTTCTTGGCAAGTGGTTCAGCTATGTTATATTAAACTGCATATGTGTTTATATTTCCATGTTATTGGGTAGTTGAAATCAGTAAATGGGCAGTTTCTTGTACTCAATCGATAGCAAAAATGGAGTTCTAAAGAAATAGCTGTGAGTTTGGTCAACTGGAACAACAGAATTAGCCAAAAACAGGGCTCAAATTTGGCGAAAGCGCTGATTCATAAATATCGCCGAGGTCGCCAACCTCGCGAGAGCGTAATTCCGTCAGTTTTCCATCAAATTTCATTCTTTTGGTGTCATTACAATCGGGAAAAGATTCTCCATCATTTCATAAGAAAAAATAATTTTATTTTTTTTTAAATTTTGCGACACTAGGAGACACCTCAGGATTGGGGGTTGCAACAGTCAAAGGGTTAAAACAGCGAATTTGCAGTGTATTTTCGTATGGTATTTATGGTTGTATTCTAGTTTTCCTGGTCTCATTTTATAGAATGAAAGACATATTACAGAAACTGAGACAAATTTGATTGGTTTCACAATGAAAAGTACCTTGATATTGAGCTCAAAGTAGCAGAAATGTTTGATTTTTGCCAAAGTTCAAAAGTAAACAAATCATGCCATGCGTCCAACACACGTCAACTGGTGAGTCTAATATTCTTTCACAAGTGTGCTGATATTATTTATACCATTTCTACACTAATGCAGTAGTTTGCCTAACAGTAAATCTTCTATTGTTTTGTGAGAATAAAAATTCAACATGGAAAGCAAAAAAAATGTAAGGGGGGCCTGGGGACATGACTAATGAACAGAGAAAATGTTATTTTAGTGCCAGGAATGTCTGTCTTGTTTATTCTGGACCCTATTTGGAAATTGGCATCTTTTGAAATATGTGTGAAATTGGCAAAATTGCCAATTTCTGACCACTTTGTTGGATAGTTGAAATCGGTAAATGGGTGGTTTCTTGTATTCATTCGATAGAAAAAGTGGGGTTCTAGTGGAATAGTTATGATTTTTGTCGACTGGCACACTGGAATTGGCCAAAAATAGGGCTCAAAGTGGGTGAAATCGCCGATGAGTAAACATCGTTGTGACCGCTTACTTCGCTAGAGCATAATTCCATAAGTTTTCCATCAATTTTCATACTTTTGGTGTCATTATGATCGGAAAAGGATTCTCTATCATTTTATAAGAAAAAATTTTTTTTTTTTTTTTTTCGAAAAATTTTCGACCCTAAGAACAAGTTTAGTAGAGGGCCTCTCGACCCTGAAAGGGTTAAAAAAAATTATTTTTTGTGAATATTTTTGTGGGTCTGGAACGGATTAATTGGATTTACATTATTTCTTATAGGAAATATTGCTTTGAGTTTAGGCCAAGCTTCTGGAACGGATTATGGCTGAAACTCGGGGTTCCACTGTAATGCATAATAAGTATGACTGGCAAGTAATACGCATTTTCACTTGTTCAGGAATCAGACATGACTACTGCATCATGTGTAATACCTGTTGGTTCACAAGTCGCTCTCTCTGAGACAGAAAGAGAGACAAGCAGGCAGACAGAAAGACAAATTAGCAGAGACAGAGATAAATAGAGCTAGACAGATGGGGACAGATAGATAGACAGACAGACAATTAGACAGACATGTTTATGTATAACAGTGAAAACAAATAAAACCAAGGCAATGCACAATCATCAAATGTCACTCCACTGCTGCACTGTCAGAAGTGGAGTGACACTTGTCTTACACAATGCTTGAAGGAGTTTCATGTATACTCCCATATGTGCAAAACATTGCTAGGACCTATGTATATATTTCTAGACAATAGTATGTGACTAAGGTAGGTGAAAATGTTCACATGTCACTGTGTTTGTGACTATTTGAGCAATATTTCAGTACCTAATATTAGTGTCAGAACAAAGATTGGCTATGAAATCACAAGAACTACTATAAATTGTAATTATCAGAACATAAAAATTATATAAATTAAAAAAAATGAGTAAAAAAGATATATCAGCAAGATTTCTGCACGTGGCAGTGCTTCACATTGCCATCAGGTAAGCAACAAGCGCTGACTTTCCTGTCTTATATTTCCATAAGTACTGACTCTTAACATTTTTTTTTTAGATTATTACATATAAAAAAAATGTAATCTTTATTAATAATTTTTCTTTTCTTTTCTTTTCTTTTTTCAAAATATTCAAAGCGCTGGGCAAGAGAATGTAGATCTACATTTGGACAGATATCCCTTTCACTGTCGAGACCCCTGCTCACAAACTTGCTCTCAGTGTCGAAGAATTTAAAAAAAAAAAATTCTTATGAAATTATAGAGAATCTTTTTTCTAATGGTAATGACACCAAAAGTACGAAATATGATGGAAAACTTACAAAATTACTCTCTTGTGAAGTTAGCAGTCTCGGCGATATATACGCATAGGCAATTCTGCCCACTTTGAGCCCTATTTTCGGCCAATTCCATTCTTCCAGTCAACCAAACTCATAGCTATTTTGCTAGAACTCCATTTGTTCTATTGATTGAGAACAAGAAACTGCTCATTTACTGATTTCAACTACCCAATAAAGTGATCAGAAATTGGTAATTTGGCCAATTTCATACATAATTCAAGTAAGGCCAATTTCAAAATAGGGTCCAGAATAAACAATGCAGACATTCCTAGCACTAAAATGACATATTCTCTATTCATTAGTCATGTCTCCAGGCCCCTCTTATATGACGCTTGCTTTCCATTTTGAATTTTTATTCACACAAAAATAGATTTACTGTTATGCAGACTGCTGCATTATTGTAAAAATAGTATAAATAATATCAGCACATTTGTGAAAGAATATTAGACTCACCAGTTGACATGCATTGGACACATGGCTTGATTTGTTTACTCTTGAGCATCGGCAAAAATTAAACATTTCCGCTACCTTGAGCTCAATTTCAAGGTACAGTGGACCCCCGGTTAACGATATTTTTTCACTCCATAAGTATGTTCAGGTGCCAGTACTGACCGAATTTATTCCCATAAGGAATATTGTGAAGTAGATTAGTCCATTTCAGACCCCCAAACATACACGTACAAATGCACTTACATAAATACACTTACATAATTGGTCGCATTCGGAGGTAATCGTTATGCGGGGGTCCACTGTACTTTTATTTCGAAAACCATTCAAAATCATCTCTATTTCTGTAATATATCTTCCATTCTCTCAAATGAGACCAAGAAAACGAGAATACAACCATAAATACCATATGAAAATATACCGCAAAGTCAGTGTTTTAAACCAAAAACATGTCAATTTTTTTTTCTCATTATACACTGCATGCTGCAGGATTTTTTTTATACTGCACACACTAACCACTTGGACCCATTCTCTCATATGTAGGTCTACCAGCTTTCTCCCGCTAGATTTGAAGCCGCTAGAATTTTGGCGTAGTACTACGGCACCAACACTGGCTTGTAAGCCATAGTACTACGGCACCAACAGTGAAAGGTTTAAATATCATATATTACATTATTATAGACATTTTCATTAATACATCTATGACATGAGCCAGGGTTTGTTGCTGTGAGCCAGGGATCCTCTCAATGGAGATTTCTTGATACTGGTGAGGGGGCTCTTGATCTAGCAAACTGAATCTGTGCTCCAGTTACCTGAATTGAACCTCAATGCCTTCCAATCCTCCCCCCCTTCCGCAGGCATTGTATAATCCCAATGGGTTTAGCGCTCCCCCATGATAATAATAAATACATGATGTGATCCAGGGTATGTTACTGTGAGCCAGGGTATGTTGCTGTGAGCCAGGGTATGTTGCTGTAAGCCTGGATATGTTGCTGTACTGCATTAATGTGAAGATAGTTTGTTTAGTGTCACTAGTCACTCCCAGTTCAACTGCCAGATTAATGTGTGTCCATCTGAGTCGATCTGACCGGGTCTATTACGTGTCCACCCAAAAACACTGTTTACAGAATTTGTGCATCTCTATTGAATGAAACCACATTGTATTGGAAGATGCTTTCCAAGACATTTATTGCTAAAGAAGAGAAGTCAGTGCCTGGTTTCAAAGCTGCAAAAGAGAAACAAACAAACTGTATTTCTTTCCGTGGTATAAAAATGTAGTTTTACATGTAATAAAATATTGTTAAGCACAAATAATTAAGACTGGCAAACACTGTTGCTGAGGGCTAATGCTAGGGTCTAATACTACTCACCACTCACTATGAGCTAAAAAAAAACAAAAATATTTTAAGTAATGAGTGTACACTATATGCATTTTACCTTTTTATTGTTTTTTAGGCCTAGTTCTATTGCTCTTGTTATAATAGTGTAAACATATTATCAGGCATTTATATGCATATAAAAGTGAAAACAAGGGAGATTCACTTTATGGTGATATTTTCTTTATGGCAGTAGCCTGGAACCTAACCCACCATATAATCAGGTCCTTCTGATTATATTGTAAGACATATTCTTACCATTTCACTAAATGTAACTGAAGGCTGTCTGAGGTGTGCATAGGGTTGAGTCTCAACTTCTAGCCACACTTCTCGACTGGCTGCTGCTGGGTTCACTCTCTCTGGGTTTTGTGAATCCTGTAGTAACTATTCTTAAAGCTATGTATGGATCTTGCCTCTACCTTTTTACTATGTGAGTTGTGTGTAAGCCTGCTTTCATTAATGAAACCAAAGTTCTAATTAGAATATTTTATCAAAATTGAAAATTATTTTTTCTTCTTGAAGGATATGTGTTTCATTACAAATCTTTATGATATAATACTGAAAGTTGCAAATACTTTTCTGCGCATATGGATGCTTAATTTAAAATCTTGTGTTAACGTTGTAGCTATTGTTCTAAAACATTCAGCAAGATTGCATGTTAAGTCAGGATTCATTCTTGTTATTGTGACCACTTATTTAATATGGCCATTTTCTTAAAATTTATGTTTCTATTTTCAGACAGATTCCTTGGTTGCAGGGCATCAGCAGCAGGTTGTTGCTGGTGGAACAGATGAACTGACAGAGAACAGAAGATCAAGGGGACAACTTTGCTGTCAGTTTTGCTCCAAATCTTTCAACTACAGCAATGACTTAGAACGCCACATCAGAATTCACACGGGAGAGAAACCCTTTGCTTGTCCATATTGTCCATATCGTGCAGCTGTTAAAGGAAACTTGAACCAACACATTAGAACACACACTGGAGAGGAGCCTTTTGCATGTTCATTCTGCCCATACCGTGCAAAGACCAGCAGTAATTTAAAAACACACATTTTTCATAAGCATCGTTCCTCTTGCCAAAACTTAAGTAGTTAAAACAGATTAGTGCAAATGTGACACTTTTTATCCTTAAATCTCATACAATATGACTGAAATGTGTACACTGTATCAATACTATGCAATAAAATTATTAAATACCTCAGTACTGCAGTACTGTTTATTGAAAACACATCTTTGCCTTTCACTCAGTAATGATAATAAAAAACCCAGTTTTCATTACCACATGTTTCATTAAGCATAATGAATTAAGACTTTCTCATTTGAGTGTTCAATGAAGTGTATTAAATAATGAAAAAGTTAAAGATTGGAATGGACTGCTGATCTGAATACTGGAATGTATGTTGATGCTGATCTAAAGATTGGAATGTGTGTTGATGATGCTGGCCTGAAGACTGGAAAGTATGATAATGATGCTGGACTGAAGACTGGAATGTATATTAATGATGCTGGCCTGGAGACTGGAATGTATACTAATGATGCTGGCCTGAAGACTGGAATGTATATTAATGATGCTGTTCTGGGGACTATAATGTGTTCAGTGTTCATGATGCTGTTCTGAAGACTGATCTTTAGTCACCAATGTGCAAAGTCAGTAAGAGCTGATGAATAACTTGAGTAATAAACAGTATGTCAATTTAACAAATCAAATAGACACTTGTGGAAAAAATAAGAGATCAAAAGACTAGCGAAGGAGTACAAAAGAAGAACTGAAAGAATGTAGAAGTCATTTTCAATATGTTATGCTGAGTACAGGAAGAACTTTTGGAGAGAGAGAGATGAGGTGAGAAATCCTGGATGAAGTTACAGTGCTTAATAATGTAATGGGTACATGAAGTTGCTGAGTGGGGCAGTGATGGTGTTCATCCTAGGATGGGAAGGGTGAACATTTTAAATTACTAACTTGTTAGAGTTTGCAAATTTTATAATAGTGTACATTATGCTAGGGAAGAACCAAGATGATGAATATAGTGGAGATAAAATTGTCATGAGACTGGACAAAATAAATGAAGATAACAGTTTCATTGAATTCAAACCAAAATAAAGCTAATAATTGCATATTTAAATAAGTAGTTGATAAACTACAGGGTAATTAATTTCAGATATTAATTAATTATGTAATGTTCCTTCTAAGTCATAATAAAAGTAAGCCTATATACAATGTCATTATTTAATTACATTAGTGATTTTGAATAGATATCAGCTTGTTTTCTTTAAAGAAATTTATTGATATTAGTTACAGTACAGAATTAATATTACAACAATAAGTACTTTTGTTTTTATAATTCAACAACCATCTCCCACTAAGGCAGGGTCACCCATAAAAGACAACTCATTCATCATCACTCATTCAATCACTATTGTACCAGAAGTGTATTGTCATCACAATCAGATTACCCTCCAACTGCAATATCCCCATCCCTCCTTCACAATACTGGTACACTATTATAAATTCATGCCCCAGTTATCACACAGGCAAACCACTCTGCTTTCCTGCATGTGACCTGATGCATAATACAATTATTATACTAGTAAAGATTGCAAAGCATGTCTATGTGCTTGTTTAGGACCTTTAACCCTTTCAGGGTCCAGAGGCCAAATCTCAAAGGGTGCACCAGGGTCCAAGAATTTTTGAAAAAAAAAAATTCTTACAGAATTAACCCTTTGACTGTCGAGGTCATATATATACGTCTTACGAGGTACCGTGTTTGACGTATATATACTCATAAATTCTAGCGGCTTCAAATCAAGCAGGAGAAAGCTGGTAGGCCCACATGTGAGAGAATGGGTCTGTGTGGTCAGTGTGCACCATATAAAAAAAATCCTGGAGCATGCAGTGCATAATGAGAAAAAAAAACTCAGACCGTTTTTTTTTTTTTAATTAAAATGCCGACTTTATGGTCTATTTTTGTATAGTATTTATGGTTGTATTCTCGTTTTCTTGGTCTCATTTGATAGAATGGAAAACATATTATAGAAATATAGGTGATTTTGATTGATTTTACTATAAAAGGAACCTGGAAATGGAGCTCAAAGTAGGGGAAATGTTTGATTTTTGCCGATGTTCAAAAGTAAACAAATGATGTCATTGTCCAATAAATGTCCAACTAGCCATACTAATATGCAGTCATGAATGGGTTGATGTTATTTATACAATTATTACAGTATTGCAGTAGTCTGCATAACAGTAAATCTTCTATTTTTTGTTGGAATAAAAATTCAAAATAGAAAGCAAGAGTAATATCAGAGGGGCCTGGAGACCTGACTGATGAACAAAGAAAATGTTATTTTAGAGTCAGGAATGTCTGCATTGTTCATTCTGAACCTTATTTTGAAATTGTCATGTTTTTTAATTTTCATGAAATTGGCCAAATTGCAAATTTCTGACCACGTTATTGAGTAGTTGAAATCGGTAAATGGGCAGTTTCTTGTACTCAATCGATAGAAAAAAATGGAGTTCTAAAGAAATAGCTGTGGGTTTGGTCAACTGGAACAATGGAATTAGCCAAAAATAGGGCTCAAAGTGGGCGAAATCGTCGATTCGTAAATATCGCCGAGGTCGCTAACTTCGCGAGAACGTAATTCCATCAGTTTTCTATCAAATTTCATTCTTTTGGTGTCATTACAATCGAGAAAAGTTTCAGCAGCATCGACTTTTGTGAAATTTGACTTTCGGCAAACTTTGGCCTCGAGTTTCATGATTAGACTTGTGATTCGGCGACCGTCCGGTACCTGTCTGCCCGTCACCATGCACACAAAGCCAGTCTCCCATGCCATTCATGCTCAGTGTGCCATTGTTTACCAACACGTGATCATCACCCCGCGGGTTCATACATAATCATCCATTGTTTTTTGTGATTGCAACTGCTAAATAAGTCACCATGAGCCCAAGGAAAGCTAGTGCAAGCCCTTTGGTAAGGAAAGCGAAGAACACAATCCAGAGGGATTTTGAAGGGTTTGAGGCAGACCCTGACCCTGCCGACCCTCTGCCTGTTGTGGAAGGTGTTGTGGCATTGGGCAAGTCCATGGGGTTGGAGGTGAGTGACGGGGCTGTAGAAGAGTTGGTGGAGGACCACAGGGAAGAGCTAACCACTGACGAATTGCGAGAGCTTCAACTGGAACAGCATCAGACCACAGCTGAGGAACTTGCTTCAGAGGAGGAGGAAAAGAGAATGAAGGAGGTACCTTCTTCGGTGATTAAGGACATGTGTTCAAAGTGGAATGAGTTGCAGTTGTGTTGAAAGATATCACCCTGACCAAGCTGAAACAAGCCATATCTGCAACATGTTCAGTGACAAAACCTTGTCCCACTTCAGGCAAATCATAAAGAAATGCCAGAAACAGACCTCTCTGGACAGATATTTTGTGTGACAGGGGTCCAGTGACTCAAGTTGTTCCCAGTGGCATTAAAAGAAGAAGGGAAGTAACCCCAGAAAAGGACTTGCTACCTGAAGTCCTAATGGAAGGAGATTCTCCTTCCAAACAATAGTGTACACTTTCCTCCTATCCTCTCCCATCTTCCACCCACCCAGAAGTCTTCAGTAAAGGTAAGTGTAATGTTATTATTATTTTTTATATGCATGTACTTGATTTCTGATTGTTTTCAGTATGTAAATCTTTATTTAATTTGAAAAAAAAAAATTATTTTAATATTTTTGGGTGTCTGGAACGGATTAATTTTACTTCCATTATTTCTTAGGGGGAAAATGGTTTCGAGTTTCGTAAATTTCGACTTTTGGCAGGCTCTCTGGAACGGATTAATCCCGAAACTCGGGGGCTCCACTGTATATATATATGTCAAAAACGGTGGCTCATAAGATGTATATATGCGACCAAAACAGTCAAAGGGTTAAGGTACAATGTACCATATTGTACATTACACTATATGATACCATTGTACCATATGATACCATTGTATGATATGGCATAGAGCCATAGAATTTCTCTTCAGATCCACTTCCATCAGTCTTAGAACTATAAGTTGGGAAGAGGAGAATCAGAATTTGCCCAGGGAGTGAGAGCTTCCTTGCCACCAGGCATGGTGAACAAAGCCACCTTGGCGGTGTTCCCACAATGCCATGCGGGTGTCCAGATTTTTTCTACAGTGCGCACAATGACCACTCAGACCCATTCTCTTAGATGTAGGCTTGCCAGCCTTCTCCAGCTAAATTTGAGGCCGCTAGAATTTTGGCGTAGTTCTACGGACCCACAACTCAAAGCCATAGAACTATGGCACAGACCCTGAAAGAGTTAAAATATTGACATGACTTAACATATGGAGATGGCTTTATGTTAAGTTCTGCAAGTAGTACATACTAGGGAGCACTGTAGAGATATGCAAAAATCTGGTGAGTGTGTAGGCTGCTTCCATAGGGAAAGTCTAGACACTGTGCACAAGATGTCCACCATCTTGCTGAATATTTACTCCACTTCAACATAAATAGGAAATTTACATGCTCACCACTGACCACCATTTGTTAGGTTCTTCTTAGATGGGGTGATGGTGACAAACACACTGTAGGCTGTTATACAGAGTGATATACTAGGTAAATACGTGGTGAAGCCCAGCCTTCCATCCACGTCTTACTGGCCTCAGGATAATTGCACTGACTTGATCCTGTCTAGCCTTATGTCACGTGCGCAGTCATACGGGAGTCTTTGACATCATGGCTAGCAAATATTTGAAATATGGTGATACAGTGAGGGGCTCTTGATTCAGGGAATTTTATCTATACTTCCTTCCCTCTGAATCAAATGTGATTGCCTCCCATTTCCCAGCCACTATAATAATAATGTTCTTCGAAGTATGAAGATGTGCTGGAGTATAGCAATTTAAAAAAAATATTATTATAAGCTAGGAGAAGCTTAATTTTCTGATACTGCTGTGGGGTGAAAGATGGAAATATCTTTCAAACAGCTACAATTAAAGAGACATGATGTTCATTCAAAGTTTTTAACAACCCCTCTTCAGCCCTCTGACTAATACGTTTATAAACTCCACACCTTCTCCTAATTTCCACACATCGGCCATCTCCCATCAAGGCAGGGTGGCCCGAAAAAGAAAAACTTTCATCATTCACTCCATCACTGTCTTGGCAGAGGCACACTTACACTACCATTATAAATCTGCAACATTAATACCCCTCCTTCAGAGTGCAGACACTATACTTCTCATCTTCAGGATTCAAGTCCAGCATGTCGGTTTCCCTGAATCCCTCCATAAATGTTACCTTGGTCACATTCCAACAGCCCGTCAAGTCCTAAAAACCATTTGTCTCCATTCACTCCTATCAAACACGCTCAAGCATTTTTGCTGGAAGTCCAAGCTCCTCACACACAAAACACCTCCTTTACCCCCTCCCTCCAACCTTTCCTAAGCCAACCCATACCCCACCTTCCCTCCACTACAGATGTATACACTCTCAAAGTCATTCTATTTTGTTCCATGCTCTCTACATGTACAAACCACCTCAACAACCCCTCCTCAGCCCTATGGATAATAGTTTTGGTAATCCTGCACCTCCTCCTAATTTCCAAACTACGAATTCTCTGCACTATAGTCACACCACACATTGCCCTCAGATATGACACCTCCAGTGCCTCAAGCCTTCTCCTTGTTGCAACATTCATCACTGATGCTTCACACCTATATAAGAGCATTGGTATAACTATACTCTCATACATTCCTCTCTGCTTCCATGGACAAAGTTCTTTGTCTCCACAGACTCCTCAGTGCACCACTCACCTTTTTCCCCTCGTCAATTCTATGATTCACCTCATCTTTCACAGACCCATCTGCTGATACGTCCACTCCTAAATATCTGAATACATTCACCTCCTCCATACTCTCTCCCTCCAGTCTGATATCCAATCTTTCATTACCTAATTTTTTTGTTATCCTCATCACCTACTCTTTCCTATATTCACTTTTAATTTTCTTCTTATACATGCCCTACCAAACTCATCCACCAACCACTGCAACTTCTCTTCAAAATCTCCCAAAAGCACAGTGTCATCAGCAAAGAGCAACTGTGACAACTCCCACTTTGTGTTAGATTCTTTATCTTTTAACCCCACACCTCTTGCCAACACCCGAGCATACACTTCTCTTACAACCCCATCTATAAATATACTGAACAACCATGGTGACATCACACATCC